TAATTTTGTGTACGCGTACGATTTCACATTATGTTCATATTCTATCAAATCTCACGAAAATATTTTCAAATATTATGTTTAATGACTTTCCAGCTCAAACCGGAATCTTCAACTCTATTACTTATTATGTCTCTCTGGGTGTATCCCGTTAAGTATTTCGAAAAACATTATTAAAAAAAAAACAACATTCTTCCCTATGAAATTGTGAACTTTCCTTATGAAGTATAAGCCTACTTTATAACAATGACAGCGTCCGGATCCTTCCATCTAGTATTTGTACTCACACGGACTACACCAAAAGAACACCACCAAAGAGTCGGGAAACGGATATGAAGTCTCTTCACCGCATTAGGTAAGAGGGTAGACAAAACACTTTTGTCCGTTTGATTCCTTAGTGCTTCGAATTAGTCCATTAGCATTTGCTCGTAATTTGTTTTACCCATTCCCGGTATTGTTTTAACAGTGAGTGAGATAAGCGATCTTTTTTTTATATTTCCTTGTTTATGGCTGCTAATAAACTAGCGCGTGTCTAGCAAACTACGCGTGTGCTAATTATGCGATTTTAATGCGTTCGAGGCTTATATGAACACAAATAGTGCGTCTTATGGGGTTGACAGGTGCGAACATTTCGAGGAAGATGTTCAAAGTCAGCTGGCTAACAGTATGCGTGTAAATCATCGCCAGTTGTCATTAGCTAAACTCTGAGCTCAGCGCTTTCTAGAAACGGCAGCGCAGATTATCAGCGCGTCCCCGCAACTGGCGGGCTAGCAATTGGTTTCTTAAACAACTATAATAACTATAATGATCGGAGACTTTATTTTTTCTTTTAGCTTGTCTATCACCCCATCTACACTACGAGTGGCGCGACGAATTGTATTATGGGGCTATTCACACATAACGCGTTTTTTTTTTTTTTTTAAATGAAAGCATTTAATTTAAGAGTCGCGTTTTAAAACGCAGTGTCATACGCGAGAGCAGTGTTTAAACGTTTCTAACGCTTGCTTGCATAAAAAATGGAAAAGCAGCTACGTGGCTGTTCTGTTTGAACAGCTCCCTTATATTCAAATTGGAATTGCGGTGTGTCAGTGCTCCTTATTGAGCTCAACCAATTCAACATGTTTGATTAGCCCGCCTTGAATTTCAGACTAGTTTGGTTTTAGAACGAATTAGGTCTTGCCGCCAAAAAGAAAGAAATAAGGCTTGTTCCCTATTTTTAGGTATTCTGGGGTGCAATGGACGACAGCAACGCAGTGAAGCTCTTTGTTGGGAATCTGGATTTGGAAACCACACAAGATGACCTAATAGCACTTTTGGCCCCTTATGGAGAAGTGGTGCACATAACTGTACTGAGGCAGTTTGCCTTTGTCCATCTGCAGGGAGAAGGGGCTGCTGACCGTGCCATCCGTGATCTGAATGGTCGAGAGTACTGTGGCCGGAGCCTTGTAGTTGAGGAATCCAAAGGGAGGCCTCTCAATTCCACCAAAGTATTTGTGGGGAACTTGTGCGCTTCCTGTTCAGTTGAAAACCTGTATGATCTCTTCTCGGCTTACGGCAAAGTGCTCGATTGTGATAAAGTAAAGAGTAAGTATGTGTATAATGCACCTGCTTTGTATCAGTGTGTATTTCTTGCCATTATATAATGTTATGACGTGTTCTCTTGCAGCAAAACCCTCCTCATTCACAGGCTACGCCTTTGTGCACATGGAGCGCAAAGAGGATGCAGAACAAGCCATTGAGGGTCTTCACGGGACCTCGTTTATGGGGCGTCCACTTGCAGTGGAGCTCTCAAAGGTACAGCCGACCGCAAACAAGGTCCCGTGTGCCAGCTGCGGTGCACATGGCCACTTTGCAGGAGAATGCCCGATCAACAGGCCTTCAATGGAGCACCACCAGAGTCAGGCTGCTGTCTTGGCTGCAGCTGCTGCCGCTGCTGCCGGACTTCCCCTTCAGGTGCAGCAGAGTGTGCACAACTCTTTCTACAACACTGCGAGCACTGACCCAACGTTTGCAGCTCTGAAAGACTTGACCACTTCCAGGTTTGATGGCAAACCTGTCAGTGCCGCAGTCTATGGTGCCCTGGCGAGTCAAGTCTACAGTTCTGTTGCAGACCAGGTGCTGAACACGTTGACGAGCCAAGCTGCGGATGGCTACCCCACGGAAGGAGAAGCACCGCCGGGTGCTGCTGCCGTTAACCCTGCCATTGTTAACCCTGCCTATGGAGCAAATTCCTCTCTGTACGGTGCCAGTCCAGCTTATGGGACCATGGGAGGCACGGAACCTAACCCCCAAGCCATCTTTGAAGCCGCTAGGGCACGATTCTTTGAGCAGGGACAACAAGTGCTGGCCGAACAGCAGGCAGTGACCAAATCTGACCGAGACCGAAGTCCAATACGGCGTTCGGTCCCATTACTGCCTGATCCAGTTCCCCAGCCGTTCTCCCAGACGCGTCCCAAACGACGGGCCCTGCTCCCAACACCTCCTGGAGGTCCAGAACTACCTGCAGTTAAAAATGGCGACCCAATTGCAAGGTAAAGGCATCCTAAATATTTGGCAACATAATCTCAATGAAGATGGATATCAAATATGTAAAAGTGTGTGTGTGTGTGTGTGTGTGACCCTCGACCACAAAACCAGTCATAAGGGTACATTTTTTGAAATTGAGATTTATACATCAATGTGAATAAATAAGCTTTCCATTGATGTATGGGTTGTTAGGATAGGACAATATTTGGCCGAGATACAACTATTTGAAAATCTGTAATCTGAGAGTGCAAAAAAAATCAAAATATTGAGAAGATTGCATTTAAAGTTGTCCAAATGAAGTTCCTAGCAATGCATATTACTAATCAAAAATTGTTTTGATATTTATGGTAGGAAATTTACAATATCTTTATGAAACATGATCTTTATTTAATATCCTAACGATTTTTGGCATAAAAGAAAAATATATAATTTTGACCCATACAATGTATTATTGGCTATTGCTACAAATATACCCCAGAGACATGACTGGTTTTGTGGTCCACAGTCACACACACACACACATAGTGTTCTGTGTGTGTGTGTGTAGAGATAGAGCATATATATATATATATATATATATATATATATATATGTGTTATATACAGTATCTTATATAGTATCATATACAATATTATATATATATATATTTTGTTTATACTAATTGTTTATATATACCTTAAAAAAGAACATGCATACATTTTATATATATTTTTATTATTATTAAAAAAAAAATGTAAGTATATGAAATACATTATTGTTTTGTCAACAAAGCACATCTAAACTCTTCTTTCTGCATACCAGGTGCTATGCCGAGTACTACCAACAGTACCATCAGTACCAACAGTACCAACAATACCAGCAATACCAGCAATATCAGCAGTACCAGTACAGCTATCCACCGCCACCACCCCCTCCGATGCCCATGATGCCTCCAGGCCCAATGGATGTGCAACAGATGGCCGCCCCTGGCACAATTGCTTCACCAAGAGTGTATGAGCCAACTTCAACACACATGGAGCCCCTCCTACGCCGTCCTGATTACCTTCAGCAACACACATCTGAGTCCCCATATCGATAGCCCTCAACACCTCACGAGTGTGTGCACGCGTGTTTGGTTGTGAAAATGTGTGCGTGTCAATTTTGGTCCTACATGACAAAAGAAACTAGAGGAAAGGGATAAATTGAATTATTACTGCTACATCAAACCCGGATATTGTAGTTTCGCAGTTATCTTTCCCCCTCATAATGTTAAATATCTCATTATGTACAGAATGTAGACGTTTACATGGCCATGAAAGTTTAGATTCTGAGCTACTCAGTTTAAGTGTTTTTTTTTTCTCCCCCGAAGTGCTCAGAATTACATCAGCTGTCACTTTTATAGATAAAATGCTGTTTGACTTTGTCAAATGACTGTGCCTTGTGAAAATAAACCTTTTTTGTGTACAGACTTTTGTAAAACCAAGTACTTCAGGTACAGTTTTATTAAATTCATGGTTCAAGAAAGGAGCAAGCCTCAGTCAAATATCCTAATCCAAATTGTTGTCAGCATATTGTATTTGGCTTGGACTGATGTTAAGTTTCACAGCGACTAGGAAGACCGCATAGTTTAGCTAGAATGTACAGAGGACCTGTGTGAAGTCTGTGTGTGTGAGAGAGTGAGAACACAATGTTAACTGATCCATTATTTACACATGAGCACCACAATCACATACACATCAGGCCTTTTTCGTATATACCTATTTGAGTGAGGAACGGCAGGCATTTGGGCATATTAAGGTGAATCAGTACCAAACAAATCCACAAACTTGTACTTAAATGCTCTAACCACTGCCTCACTAGTGCAGATGGTTATACCTGCCCAGTTGGACAACATTAAAACTGATATTAAAATCATCTGTTGGAAAAGAGAGGGCAAGAATAGATTCATTGCAAAAGGGACAAGTTTGTTAGTCAGTCGAGAAGCATATTTGTTCTAAATGTTTTCCATTCGGATGCCTCTATTGACTCTGAATGAGTTCGAGGTGTCGTTGTTGCTAAATAGCAAACAGAACTGGTTCTATAACCTGCCAGTAGGGATTATGCATGTTTTTGCAGGATTTAAAGTGCAAACGACTGCCATCTCTGGCTTTGCATCCCTCTCTTACATGGACCAAATTCTTGGGAGTGTTGACTTATAAGTATGGGTGAAAACCCCTCAAATGACCTTAAAAGAGAATGAGGATTTTACGTTCTTTTTGTTTCTTTTGAAAGTAGCCCCATGCAATTACTATTATGTTTCCCTGACCATTTATTTTGTTCACATTTACATTTATCATAGTCTCTTTATCCTTAGGGTCATGTGAATTGATTTCAGGGGCTTTGGGGTGGAAACACTTAGTTACTTGGGGATGGGGAGTGTAAAACCTGTTCAGGCCTGACATATAGCTAGTTAAGGCAATTGGTTCTAAGAGTGAGTGGGGGGGGCGGGGAAGTGAAATGCTTCATACAATTGTATTTTTTATTTTTTTTTGTTCTTAAGGAGAAATGTGCTGTCCCAGTTCACGAGCATTTTAGGCAATTCAATTAAACATTAATGTTATGACATTATAAACCGAAAGTGTGTGAATAATTAATCCAGGTTAAAGTCCATGTATCTAGTGCTAGATGTTTCAGTCTTTTTTTGAAGGGAATCTACCCAAAATTTCATAGCATCTGCAATGGATTTTTGAGGGGATGTAGATGTTATGACAGTTAAGTAGCTTCCCTTCAAACAGCCTTCAGTGCATTATGATTGAAATTGGAAGGTATGATCAAGAGAATGGTTTGTTTAATCATGTTATGTATGTCCTCTTTTCCTAGAATGCCCCTCAGGCAGTCTTCAGTCTTTCATTCCAAAGAAATATGGTGGGGTACACACACAAATCTCACGTAGCACATGTAACCCATAATTTCACCACTCTACATTCGACTTCAACTCTTTACTTAAACCTCACAGGCAAACATCCACTGTAGTGTTAATGTTCTTAATTTGATGTGTGATAGAATGCAGATGGAAAGGTGGTGGCGGTGTAGCTTTTTGCAGCACACCAGAGCTCCACACAAATGATTCTACACAGTAAATTATTTGATCTTTGTATTATTATAAATAGTGCATGTTTCTTGTTATTATTACTGCTTTTCCAGCCACATTTTCCCTTTTCGCTAACTACAGCTATAATGGCTCCCAGGTCTCAGGATGCCAAGTTGAGCATGACGGGGGAAGAGAATTAGCGCCCCACAATGCCTTGGACGTGCTCCCCACTAAGGTAAAGCCATTTGCCCCCAACCATGCCTGCACCTCGATTATACACTTCCCCATGATTCTAGCACAGCTGCTTAGAGAAGCTCAGATCAGGCCCACATCAGTTTATACTGACAATACAGTCAACACAATGGGGAGGGCACTTGTTTTCTGCTGTGTGGTTGGATCAGTGCCTATTGAGGGGGAATTTTTTTTTTTTTAATGGCCTGGAGCAGTAGAATCACCTCTTTCAGCTTCCCGAAATGCTCATGGTTTAGTATTTGGACAAAAAAAATCCTACTTACTGCATTATTCATATTTATAATACTGACTCTTGGCACCAAATTTTCATGATAAAAGGTTTTAGTGCCTTTGAGGTATATTTTCTCGCAGTATGCTTTCAAGATGAGCTGGAAATAAATTTCCAAGTGTGTTTTTTTTTTTTTTTCATCAAACAATTTGAGGGAAGAATGGCTGACATTTGCCTTGGCTTGTTCTCTGGCATTTAGTCTTTTTGAAGCACTTCCAGTTGGCGAGATGAGGCGCTTCAACTGTGCTTTGAATACTTAAGAAGGGTGCAGAGATGACCAAAAGTAGGGCAATGGTCTTGTAGGTGAGTAACCAATGCGTCCAGCTCACATCCACCTCAACTTTATGCCTACTGCCACAATTTCAGCCTCAGAAGATCATAGATCCCACTGCAACACTGATTTCAGTTTTCACTCTAAGAAAAGGGTCCAGCTGTTTTCCTGCCAAATTTAGACTTTTGACTATTGTAGGGATTACGTTTTCCTCCATTCTCAGGGTAAGAATTGAGCATGATTTAGTATGTTCATAAGTAAAAGTAACAAATATTTTTCAGTTTAACCTAGTAGGGACAGTCTGCTATGAATTTGTCAGAAAAAAAAATTTGGTGAGCGTTTGTTAAAGGTAAGCCTATTCAGTCACTCCAAACATGACTTAAAACACGTTCTTGTCTATAATTAACATTCTTCGAAATCACAGTTTATTAATTTCTCTAATCTTCAACAAGGCTTTAACCTCAAATCTCATTCAAATTTTAGAACGGAGCGCTCTTTACAATTACACGGGTTGATTTTCTGTCTTTCTCACAATCTTCTAATGACCTAAAGCTTCATCTCTAATTTAGAGGTGCTTTTTGAAAAGTTGGACAGTGGAGCATTAGGCTACTTGTAGATAAACTATGATTGTAGGTTATTAAGAACTGAAGTACTCAGTGATTCAGGGATGTTCGAGTATCATTGATCTTTTTTTCTAGGTCTGAATGGGCAACATTAATTGTGGTTTATGTAATTGTCAAAAGTCAGAGGGATCTTAATCCTAACGTTTTTTATTTGCAAACTGGTTTTAGTGCCATATTTGTATTTTCTTCTTGAGAAGTTCAATAAACGATGCTTAAATCATATTATGTGGTCTTGTTTTTTTTTCTTCTCTCATTATTTTTCATGTTCAATTGATTTATGTTTACATTTTATACAAACCTAAATGCCTAATCAAAAAAATGTTGAACCTCCGTTTTTGCATGTGAGGGAAACCTTATATGTCATAGACCAAAGTTGCTTAACTCTTTCTGGACCTATGATTTTAATTATGCTGAATGAACGTCTTTTGTTTGCCTAATACTTAAACTCAATACTCAGACGTAACGCTGGTCATTCTGTACCGTTCTTAAATCCCGCCCATATCCTTTTATGAAATGAAGTTGTGACCAAATACTGCAGCGGTCAGTCACTCATATTGGGTCCCCTTACTTGAGTTTGAGCACCAGCTGTCAGCTCATCGGCCGGTGGGAGCAGTTACCGCAGGCAGGGGTCTGTCTTCTCTCTAAACCCGCACGGGACTCTTGACTGTACGGCACGGGGCGTGTATGTTGAATTAAGAGGTAAATAATAAGGTGTAGGCTGAGGGGATACTAAGCACCCCACGGAAGACGGAAAAAATGACAGCGATTGAAACGCAAGTGCAGTACAGTTCTTACATGATGACTACGACTGAGGAATACATGACCCAAGAGGATGACTGGGATCGCGATCTGTTACTGGACCCGGCCTGGGAGAAGCAGCAGCGGAAGGTAAAAACTCGGGAGGGCTTTTTGTGCTCACTACTTGCTTTTCTTTATAGAGGTTTACGTAAAGTGAATTTAAATATTAATCTACAGCCAGAAAAAAAATATATAATTGTTCGTTTTTAATGGCTGAGTAGGCCTGCCTTATGGAACGAAAGGCAGTATTAGGATGTCAAATCTGTAAGAATTTTTATTTGTCATTCGGTGTCTACAAGCGTCAGGCCTCCACGTTATACACCGCTCAGCAACACGGACCAATCAGCTGCGACCTCGTTGACTTGAGCAGCGTAAATGGTTGAATAATTTTGTATTCATCTTTAATTTCAACATAATCCATTTGGTTGGAATATATTTTTTATTAAAATTATGAATGGGTTATATGTTATAATGTTAGCATTACTGCAACTAATTAACTGCAGGAAATTAGATTAATATATTTCATGAATATATGACAGTAGACATAACTACACCAAAGTGACAGTAACAGCTGAGCAGATGAGGCAACAGTGGACAGACAGTGTTCAGAATGGACGGAAGTGGTTAAGCACTGAGAGCCGCAAATAAACCCTACAACTAAAAATATGGGACCCATCCTGTCCCCCAACTCATTAATCCAAGCAGTTTGTTCATCATCATCTGTTGATTCTAGTTAAATGACTGATGGCACATGTGAGAGGTGTTTATTAATAAGCAAGGATTTAACATGACGACCTTGCAGATTTATTTACATCCTGTTGAGGGCACAGGCATTTTTCTTTCTCGCAGAGTGCACTCGGTGCTAGATTGAAACACACATTATAGCTTTGTGAGTTTCAGTTTGGTTGGTCAGTAAGGACTAAGTCTAAGAAACTGACACTTTTCATGAATAGGGTACAAAACATGACCTGATGGTGCATAACCTTCAAAAAATGTTGGTCATGAACCTCAGGATGTCAAACTAAATTGTATGTTTTATTTAGTTTTCTTTTTATGCCGATCTTTGCAACCCTGTTGTAGTTGAATGAGGTTTAACCTTGATTTGTGAAAGTTGACTAGCTACTTTCATTCTAGATTAGTTTTATGTTCTATAATAGTTTGTCAGACATATTTAAAAGGCCTCCCAAAAAAAGTGCATTAATGCCTTTAATGATTTAAACAAACAAAACAAAAAAAAAGGTTTTTGTATGGTACCGTATTTGTGGAATGTGACAGCAGTTTTTTTCTAGTCAAAATAGTCATTTCAAAAGATAAGCTACTCAGTAAACCTTTGTTTTGGTACTTTGTATTTCAATTACTGATAAAAATGAAATTTCAGAAGGAATATGTGTAATTTTTAATGCTCACTGTAGGGTCAATTATGTGAAATCTTGGCAGATAGTGGCTACGTTGTGGAAGCTAAAGTAGATTTAAACAAAGCTTGAAAAAAGAGTGTTTTTGCACACGAATGTGAAGCATTCTGTCCATGCAGAACTGTCATGCTGCACAACTCTCTTCAAAAAGACCTCACTAAGTGCTGATATCACAGCCTTCCTTTCATTTAACCATTACTATGCTTCATGCTATACCTTTAAGCCTACCTGCTTCGGAGAATTACTCTCGAGTACTTAGCGTCCTCATGCTTTGGTATCTTGGTCACGTACCATTTATTAGTTCAATCCTGAGACTAGATTCTTATGTGGAGAGACAGTATCTCTACAGTATTGTATTAACTATTTTTCTAGTGTCTGTTAATTAATGTGTCAGATCCTGCAAGGGAAACCAAGTGGACCATTGAGTTTTGAGAAGCAAGAGATTCTGAGACATGCTGAATATTGTTGTTTAATTCTGGATTTATTATAAAATTCTATGTTGTGTCGCACCCCCACACCTCTTATGGATCCCTTTCTGCTTTCCATGCTTGAACAGTCATCAGTTTGAGGCATGGTGAATGTAGGCCTCATCCAGGCCTCATCTAGTTACCTCCATCAGCTACATTTCCAGTGTCAGGGTTTTATGGAGATTGTATCTGTAGTTTCTCATAAAGTATTGGACACTTACCTGAATTTTATTATTATTATTATTATTATTATATAAGACATCTGCTTAGTGTGCTGAATAGTATGTCACCTAATTACACCTTTTCCATTTCCCTTTCATTTGTATAAAGTGGGTATATAAAAGTATGCATATTTCATATGATGAAATTTGTGTGTTTCATCCCTCTTTTTATGAGGTCTGCAAATGTATTTTTTTTTTCATTCTAATTAGAAAGCCTTACACTTAGTGCAGAACC